CCTCTGAAACGATGGTAAACATCGATCAGACTACACAGCGCAACAACCCAGAAGACAGAAATCTTCATACTCTGATGACGGAGGCAGTATGACCTCTGAAACGTTGGTAAACATCGACGAGACTACACAGCGCAACAACCCAGAAGACAGAAATCTTCATACTCTGATGACGGAGGCAGTATGACCTCTGAAACGTTGGTAAACATCGACGAGACTACACAGCGCAACAACCCAGAAGACAGAAATCTTCATACTCTGATGACGGAGGCAGTATGACCTCTGAAACGTTGGTAAACATCGACGAGACTACACAGCGCAACAACCCAGAAGACAGCAATCTTCATATAATAACATGTCACCAGTACTCGATGTGTCAATACCTTTACATAACTAAAGTGATACACTAACCCCAGAAACAGATGAACCTCTGGAGCTGGGTCGACTATGACGTGGAGAACTGCAGTTAGGAGAGCCGGGTCTGGGTCTTGGACTGGGAACCCTATCTGCAACATGATTGTGATTCACCCTCTGAATCCTCTCCACACCAGGACTCTTAGGACGCAGCTTATGAGGTGGTCCAGGTGTAGGTAATGGAGGTGGTGATGAGCCACCTCCCCCCTCATCTCGTGGCAGCACCGACTCATAGATGGGTTCTGATGAAGTACTCTGAGGAGGACTTGCATCATTGGTACATACTAAAACTCCACCAGGGCCTGTTGGAGGTGGCGGAGGAGGCTCTGTTGGTTCTGGAAGTGAAGGAAGCCCCAGACACTTGGAGCCACCGTTGTTTCTCTGAGACTGTGGCTGCAGATCTAGACTGCATGGTGGCACAGGAGTGTGAGAATTTGCCAGGCCTTGATTCTCCTGTTGTATCACAGTTTCAAGCTGTAATAAACAGGAAAAGTTTTTGTAATGCATCGACCAGGGTTACGAGGATATATTTCTGGGACAGTTAACCGTTCACATGGAGGATCTTGATGTCCTGCTACTGAGAAGGTTGGTCTGGGAGGTACCCAGTTTATATCTTGCCCTTGTTAATGACTATCCTGAGCAGAGTGCTCTGTCGTAATCCACAGTCTCTCCAGGAGAATATAGTGATGGTATCTTCAAATATGCATTACCATCTTCTCCTGTGTCATCCAGTGCTATATAACATTTGCAGTTCAAGTATCATTAACAAATAACCAAAGAGCCAATCCTTCTGTGGCTTTCTAGGATAGTCAGGTGTCCTCGATTTTAAAGTTGCACTTAATTTTAAATTGAAACACTGAAATTTAAAGTCCAAATTTAATTTCACTCACAATATCCTATTCTTGCATTGCAATGTTTTAATCACATCAAAATAATGTATGTTTAGAATTAGAAATCAATATCTGTTAGCAAATTATTATCATATCACAGCTGCTGGGTTCAGACGGTTTGTATGTTCAAGGCCCGCGTGTTTTCAATGAAACGTTGTTGGCTCCAGCGGTCGGAAGGAAATCAGAATCAGTTCATTATACAAAAAAGTGAAAAAATCAGATGTGTGTGTGTAAAATCTACAATATATCAACAAATTAATCTACAGGTTATCTGTCATTTACCTTATCATAACAAGTATAAGTAATTTTTTTTTTCTATATTACATAACAGTTGTGATAAAGTGAACACCAGAGGTTATGTAGTTTGAGCCCTGATTTTGTACTTATCAGGTGTTCAGAGTTTTGTTCAAAACAGTAAAATAATATACAACTGTTTTTAAAAGTAGGGAATGTACAAACACAGGTTTAATAATCGCATCTTCACTTTCCATCTAATACTTGATCAACTCAAATAAAAGAAATGTTTGTTGGAATTTCTATACTCATCCTAGTTTGGCCCTTTCTCAAATTATGACTGAACACTTAAGACCCAACATATATTCTATGTATTCTATTCTACGTCATTCAACGTACAACAGACAAATTATGCTAAATATCCAATCACGTGACTGGCGAGAAACATTTCGTTACATACCTCCACATCCAAGTCTTCAACCAATTCATTCATCCTCTCGCCAATTTCATCTATGATTTGATTACGATTAGGCTGTACATCTGATAGAAAAGCGAACAGATTGTCTAAATCCACGGAGTCCCCCACTTGTTCAGTGACAGCAAGCTTTGAATTGAGTTGCTCAGCCATATGAGAGAGAGCTGCTATCTCCTGCTGTGCAGCCCTGTATAACAGAACACAAATACACAATAAATAAGCACCTTATATCAGTATATACGTTTAGGTTTTCCTCAATTATTCTGCACCCACATTTCATAAAAAAAACAAATTCCTGCCTAAAAATAAATTCTTGTTTAAATTTCTCAAAGTTTACAACTCATGCCTGAAAACCAATACATATTTAAAGTTCTCAAAGCCACTATGTTCCTCTGAAATGGTGACCTAAAGCCAAATTTAGCGAACTGTTTACCATTTCTGGCTATGAATTTTGTACATAGGAATGACATAACCTAGCAAGGGACAATGTCTTTTTGAGCAGGACTGCCCTTCATTAGCTTTTTGGTTGGTTGATGTATATTTATTTTTGGTAGATTTCCCAAACTGTACTGGATATACAGTATTATTTGGGTTTGTGAACGTGAATAATGAATATGGAAGGCCACAGAAGGGAGCAGTTGTGACCTGATTGCCTGTTTTAGGATACTGTCCCAGGATTTGCACAGAAGAACTGAAGAAAAATACAAATAACTTCAGTAAGGATAACCGGTCTCTAGACCACAAATCAAATGCATTACCTCCTCCCTATTTATTTATTAATATTCCTGTACAATTACCCTATAAAGACATCACACCCCCACCTGAGTTATAACTTCATTACAGTTTAATTCAGTTGCAGTAAACTAGCCAGCACAACAAATATTACTGAAATAATGTAATAGGGACTTTAGCATCACATTAGTAACTGATGGTAATATCCTGGCATTCGCTTAAATAGTCTCAATAACGTCACAGAAACATCGGTCAGGACTGTTGTTGATTCATCTGAGATTCAAATTTGGTGCTCGTGCATAAAAGTCTTATTGTGTTACTGGTACTTGCTAAATTTGAAGTTATGACATAACTAAATATCTAAAACATGGCACAACTTTTCATTTGATATATATTCTAATATCATTCTTTTATCTTGGTTAATTCCTGTTACAATGACTATGAATGTACTGATTATGTGTAAGTCTTCAAAAAATCACATTTTAATGCTTTTGTGTTCATCACAAAAACAAATTTTCAAATCAAAAAAGTAGCACTTCTAGCTTTTCATAAGACAGAAAAAGGTACATTTAGTTAAACTTAAAGTGGGCAAGGCCGTGGTCTAGGCAGCCCGGAGTTTTCCTCCGTGGCATCCCAATAATTACTCCATTCACACACAGAAGAAGGCAATGGCAAACCCCTTCTGGATCATCTGCCAAGAACGTATATGAACAGGTCCCAGTCCGAGAAAAGGATGGAAGGATCCTGTTCATATGGACCTGTCGTCAGACAGAACACTAAATAATAAAGTTAAACTTATGATGATTCAACAAGCTAAGACACCTTGATTAGTAAGGTGACTCGCTATGTGTTGGAGGACCTGACAAAGGGAAAGTTTTACTCTTTGCCACTACATCCAGATAATTTTTGGTACCCACCCAGCCTTCCATCCAAAAAAACACAGAGGCTCTCTTACCCTAGGGTACAGTGGCTGGAACATGAAGCTGACAGTTAAGAATGTGTTGAGTTTTACCTCATTTCTCCTTTTATGCCTTCACGGCACAGAACATAGTTGCCTTTTAACTTCACAATCACAAGGTCTTAACGTTCGTGCAAGGTCTTCAATAATATAATTTTGTCTGAGTTCTAGACAAAACAAGACACTAGAAATAACAAACAGGTTGAACTGACGGCCCAAGGAAGCTGTATATCACGTATGCAAATTTCAATAGGATCAGAATTCTGCGATAAGCAGAGCCCTGCAGCGTACATCAATTTTGGGATAGTCCACATACATTCCATTAAAATAAACCAAGCCTTTTGTATTACTTACCCTCGATCCATTCCTACTAAACCATGATACTGCTTGCTTGAAAAGAAAATTTGATTTTTAGTCATACGAGAATATTATTTCTGCAACTACTGACAAGACAGATTCAGTACATCTTTATAAATAACTTGCTCCAATGGCTATTTTACCATCTCCTGATGGTAAATGAATGTGAAATATTGTTGGAATGATGATTACTGGCAAATGACATTTGAAGTATTCATTCTACACCGATACTACTACATCCAACACAGTTCCATATCAGAAGTATTTGTGTAAAAGATGACAAATAAATGTTTAATATGTAAGTACTGTAACAAACAGGTCAGGAAGTATAAAAAAATTGTCAGGGGTAGTATCCGTCAGAAAAGTAGTGAGCGCGGGTTCCATCTACAGAGATGCAGCTCAACTTATTGCCAGGAATTAAAAAAAAAAATTAGGACAATAATTCAAAACTGCAAAAGTCTAAATGCTATGAATATCCCCAGGATAATAAGATATTGTAGATGCGTCATATTGTGATTTATATAGTATTAAAAATATATTAAAATTAGCCGTCAATCACAATATAATATTATTAAAAGATTAAAATA